CAGACTATGTGAGTGAGAAATCACGAAGTAGGAAATACTGTACCTATAACCACAACTCAAGAAATGCATTGGCACCCACGGGATGGTAGTCACTGACAGAAATTATAATGCCTGACCAGTTTCCAGGGAGTTTATAGCGAAAAGAGAAGTGTGTCTGTGTAAAAAACAATGAAACAATGTTAAAATAGTCAAATATTACATCTATCTTTGTCAAATTCGCTTGCAAACGGCACATAACACAACCACACAAAACCTCTTACGATACGACCTACAAAGGACAAATCAAATATCCAATTGACCGCCACTGTTCTAGTCAATGAAATACGAAGTAACCTGAGTCGCGGAAAATATAACACGTCACAACGTATATCCTCACCCATTCTTATAAGCTCGGAATCGAAACTGATTTCCGCTCACAATTTCTGAAACCACTCCTGGTGTATTGCCTACCACAAAGGAATTGTCAGGGGGATATCAGCTTATTTTAAAGTTGGAAAACGTAGCAGTCTGCTTAGATACATTTACAGATACATTAAAAGTTATCTCTGATTTTTCAGAATCAGCTTCGAGTAACCATCTTTCTCCTGTGCGTTTACCTATCTGAACTGCTGGGTTATTGGGACCTTTGACTAGAATCTGGAGAAAACGCATGTTAGATTCAAATGGGAAACATGAGAAAGTGTCCAGGGGTCCGTGCTGTTTCACGTCCTCACAAATATGAAGTAATCCATGGATATTGTATACCATGTTTTCCTCCCCAAATAATGACCTGAAGTTCCCAATGAATTTCAATAATAAACCCTTCACGTCATCTAGGTAATAGGAAGAATAAGCCGGGTGAATTAAGATGTAACATGCCAAGAATAAATCGAAGAAGTTCTCATAAAAGCAAGGTGGTAATACGTCTTTATGGTATACCACTCCCAAATATAAAAGAAAAAGCATACACTCTGTTGCTTTCCAACGGTCAACGTCGTCTAATGTTCTACACTTACGCTGGAATTCAGAAGAAGCCAACTTGTGTGAGCTGAGTAGTCTGCAGTTAACAGTGTTCAATATCGTAGCATGCATACCATCTTCCCTAGATGTGGCCATCGATTTCTACAGGCCAATCAACTTTCGAACTACACCTAAGTATATGAGATGCATGGTATCTATAGGAAAAACAGTGATCATGTCTACATGCAATCTCTCGAAAGGAGATTTACCCTTATGGTGACGTGGCAAAGTTTGGCTGCGAAAAGACATGTCTGTTCTTAAAGCATCACATGTAGTAGGATAAACCATGCGACGATTAGCACGACGGTATAAAGCCCCATATTTATCGCATCCTTGTGTTGAATTGTGACCACTTATTTGCTTAACTAGTGCTCTTGCTGGTGTGCCACAGATGACGGCCTTAAGTACAATGTCTATGCGATGACTGTTGAGTAATGTGACACCATTAGCACAAAAGTTTTCTAATTCGACGATAGTGTCCCTCAAAAAACTGTGTATACTTAAAGGTTTACATGAACCACAGTAGACTCCTACCAAGAATACCGTGTCACAGCCCGACAAAAGTAACTTCCCTTGTATTGGCCATATCTGCAATTTGGAGTTGTTGAAAATTGGGGCACCATCAATGTTTAGCTGAAGAGCAATTGGCACAGAGACTTCACATTTGACAATTTGTAACCGAGATAAAATCTGACGATGAAGGCCAATGTGAACATATATTCCAGGACCAACTGCTCTCCTTTCAAAAAAGTTGTCAATGCAGTTGAAGATTGAACGATCAATTCATGGTTGTTTGCTCAAAACCAACTTCCTCAATTTTCGCGGAGGCATCAATACACCAGTCATCGTCTCATCGATCGCTGTTCAGAAAGAAGTCAGCAGAAAACCGTCAGAAGTAATATTGTGATTTATTATTGTAATATTTGTTCATAGACCTTAGTTAAAACTTAATTGTAAAGCTGCCTATATGTTGGTGTTACAATAAAGAATTCTCGAGTAGCCAATCGGTGTTTTAGTTTTGCGTCCGTTATTACTAAGCGTTTCTGAGAAACTTCAAGGAACAGCGTGAGTCCCAGTGTAGCAAGAGCTGGGCATTGACAGTCTGTGAGACGTGGCTGACAAAGTCTTTAGTCCTCACCAATGTCCGAGGGTCAATCGGCAGCTCACGAGGATGGGGCCTTAATTCTTCCAGCAAAATACGAGTATTAGTCATATTCAGCTTGCATCTGTAGACGACGTTGCGAACAGCATCCACTGCAGTGCACCCGGTTTGGTCAGCTTCCTCTGTTGCAGACAGTTGTTCATTCGGTAAATGTTCATCCAATGACGGTGGAGGTGCCATGCTATTACAAGGAACATCAACTGGAACGATAATTTGTTGGGGAGTAACCATGTTTCCAGGCATTATTTCAGGCTGTGGTTCACTTTCACGAATTTTCGCATATAATTCTGTGTACATTAATATGAAAGGAAGGCTTACATTCTACACGCTTCTTCCACTCCAGATTTTACTTTTTGAGACGTCGATAGAATGTTGACTTATATCGGCTTAAGTCAAAATTGACTAGCGCTGCATCGTCAAAGAAGATTGATTAATAAACTTGAGTAGTCTAGAATTCTTCCGGCGGTATGGTTCGACATTAGCTGGTGGTCTGGTGTCATGTAGTGTATTAGTGATGCTTTACGGAGAACTCTTAGAGCTCATGTTACCTGGAAGAAATCGGAAAAACGGTTAAAAACGGATTCCTGCAGTCTACACAACTTATGCGCTATGCCTAATAATAAAAATGGCCAGCATTGTCAAAGTTGCAATATAAAACATACAAGTATGCAAGTAATTACTAGGAAAACTTCGTAAAAAAGAAGGTTTGCAAACAGGCAGACAACTCACAGCAATGGAAACACAAATTGTGGATTCCGCCGCTTCGAAGGATTTCAGTGCAGTAAAAGATTTCTCAGGGAGGAGCCTTTGGTGATGTATTCAGATAGTAAAAGTACATTTAATTGATTGTTTATATTAAAAGAGTTTATCATTTTAAATGATGTATTATTAATCACTAATTAAGATTCATTGTAACGCAGTTCTCAAAAGTTAACTGTCATTGGTTGAGGAAGTACATCCGGGTTACTCCAATGGGTTGATTTGTAGCTAATAACCGCTCATCATGTTGCCCGAAAAATCTGCAATGCGCCCTTAGTCTTCCTTGAAATCTGCAATGTGCCCTAAGTCTGCCAAAAAGTCTGCAGTGCTCCCGAAAAAATGCTAGCTGAGAAGAGCAATGAATTTAGGTGAAAATCCTTCTCGAATGGGGTCACTCAAGGTGCCATTACAGGCTTCTTGTCTGTCTTGTAACATGAACGAAATATTCCAATCTTGAATGATAAGAAAAAGACATAAGAGGCGAAGAAAACTTTCTTTTCGACGATTCACTTTCACAAGCTATACAATCGTAATTATATTTAAGAAGGAAATCATAAGACCGATCAGATGCTGGTAGTATTTGATCTCGGAAAACGTATTACGTAACATATATTTGACCTAGACATTCCAAGCAGCCATTTTGCATACCACATTCTCCACCAGATGGTTAGTCCAGTGTAACGTTAAGGATAAGGTACCGCTTCTGGCCACCTCAATGTGTATTTACCAGTTTACTTGCTCGTGCGGAGGAAAGTATGTTGCCTGTACCAACGTCAAGTACACAAACGTATTTGGGACATTTTCTGGCTTGGCCAGCCAGATGAGAAAGGAAAAACGGAAGCAGCTCAATCCCCGAAGACATTGCCAACTCTAAACATCGAGCACCCCGCGTGAATGCTTCACAGTGCCGCACACAGTCGCTAAATATCGTGCGAAAGGTCTTCGAATACGCCGTCTGTACATAGCTAGATCACTGGCTATTCGGGATCTGAAATCTGAGCTCTGCATTCAAAAGCATTACATACATTCCCTCTCACTAGCATGACCAAAGTTACATCCTCTGTGGGCCGGTGGCACAGTGGTTAGGACTCTCGCCGACCATGCACATAGTCCGGGGTTCGACCCCACGCCAACGCACACCTGATATCTATGGTCGGCCTGCGAAATTTGGGCTGCCGATATCCACGCTGAAAATCCCATACTTGTACCAAAAATACAGTGTGGAATCGAGCTGTAATCAAAAGAAATAAAAATCATCATTATTATGTTCATTACCCATATTTCATTATCACTCTGTTACTGTTTATTAATAGTAGCCTACGCAGAACATGTCAGGCCTCATACCCCAAACTTTTAGAGGAATTCACATATTTTGGAAAGAGTATGAAGGGTATTTCCTGCCTCCCATAAGGGATAAAATGGAACATTTGGGTCTCTATTATCGAAATAAAGGAGAAGAGATGACTTGATTCCGACTTACTGTATATTACAGGGAGATTCGGGGACTGACCTTACTAGCCCTTTCTATGCTTATGGGCACGTTTACGAGTGGAACTCTCTACCCGGTCAAGTGGCATTACCTCCATTGGTGAAAGTATTCAAGGCGAAATTAAATCTCTGAAGATATATGTATATATTGCAAGTATTAACACAGGCCAAAAACACTACCATGTGTGTTACTGAATGTGGATCTAACTCGTGCGAAGTGGACCTATTTTAGCTTATCGCTTACTAACCAGATAGTTGTGCGTTGACTTCTCTAACATATTCTCTCAGTCCGGGATATTTACAAGGGCTCACAGTGAAAAGTTGCTTAAACATCAGTTAGACTAGACCTGAGTTGTAGTCACATCCTTCCATGGGGTAGTCAACGTCTGGAAATATTTACTGAATCAGGTGGTATCGAATCTTCTGTGAACACTTTCAAGGAAAGTTATGATCTCTATGAAACATATATAGTAAGGATGAACGCAGCTTTCAGTAGCCTACCATCCATTAAGTCAGAAAATTGAAGAGTCGCAGTTGAAACCATCTCGTGCACGCGGTATATTCAAATAGCTGTTGTGCACGCTTATTGATTATGCCTAAAAATAAAGGTGAGTTCCCGCCGATACATGTATAACTGTGATTACCGATACAAACTGAGCATTATCTATCTGAACCTTTCTTTTTTTAATATTATAGGTAAAGGAGGTAAAAATCGACGTCGAGGGAAGAATGAGAATGAAAGTCAAAAGCGTGACCTTATCTACAAGGAAGCTGGTCAAGGTAAATGGTTCATACACTTGTTAATCCTTGAGTTTTGATTATACGGAAAGGTTCTACTCACGTTTACTTGACATTTGTAACCATTTCTTGAGTGGTTTCCTTATTGGGGTTGAAATTTACTTTACTTGACAGTTCTAAATTCAACTCCACAGGTTGTCGCTTGTTTCCTACTCCATACTGTGTTCATATTTCCATTCTTTTCAACCTCACAATACCTGAAGCTCAGTAGTCAGTTTGTTGTGCTTCTTCCTCTATTTGTTGGACCAGGACGTTCGATTTCTATCTCCTAATATACCAGTTGTGTCACGAGACTGTCATTCATTATGGGAACCTGTTTGATGTTCACTCCTGGCACGTATGATTGTTTATTCCACATCTCTTCTGCCCGTTCATTTAAGTATTACAGTTTTAACTTAGAGTACTTCCATGCATTATAGTGCTTGCTGTCTCCTGATATTGCAGTTCGTACACCTTGTATAAATGTATAAATGAAGAGGTAATCTTAGGGACTTAACAACTTTAGTATCAGCATTAATGTTGACAGAAGTAAAACTGGAGATAGTATTCAAACCCCACTTGCCTTTTTATTCAGTTGACAATGGGCCATATGTATATTGTGAGGACTACTAATAATACCTGGTTACAGACTTCGGTGAATTATATTTATACACTATCGTTTGCAAGAATTAAGTTGCTGTTTATTCACTAATTACAAAGTTGATAAGTTCTTGTTAACTAAGCTTTTGTGTTCAACTGAGTGAAAATAGGTTCTTATGGAATTTACTCTAATTTGTTCTGAAAGTGTTGACTGTGTTGTGTCCGGTAGTTGGTTCAGATTCACTTATTCGGAACAGATTAATCGTATAGCAGGCTGTAGACTACATTCATTGTGTGAGCTGATTTTACCTAGGTGCCCAAGATAAAGTAGATGGAATGGGATTCAAACCCTGGAGCTATTTGGTTGAAAGCCAGACACTGAAGGTGATCACTCACATCTCCCTAGTGCGAAGCTGTCATAAGATGACATTTGTCAACTGTTTTTACGGATGCTTAATTCCGCCAACAGTTTCAGTCAGATCCGAGGAACAGTACCAACCCTACCCACAACTTTCGTAGTCCCACGTAATTTGAGTCTTTTGTCAGTTCATGGAAGAATACTGTGGGACAATAAGAAATTATAGGTACACAAGTTCAAGGATTGAAAAAGAATACTGAGTTACACAGGGGAGTCTCAGTTTTCCTATGTCAAGTAAACTATTTTGTGAGTTAACAGGAGGTGGGACTACTAACAAATATAAGAATGCTGTTGCCAAGATGGGTAGTATTTGAGTCACTGCCCAATGGTACCTTAAACCTCCTATATTCAAAGAACTAACACAGTTCAAGTCTATGGGCTTACTATTATTCAACTCGTTTAAATCACTTTCAGCACTAGCCAACAGTAGACGGTTTGAAAGTCTAGACGACGTTACTCTTAGTTCAATCAAGCTGCGCAAGTCAGTGATCCAAGGTGACAGTGGTTATTAACACGCTTCTAGATATCAAAGTCGTACCATTATCTTCAGATATAGGCAGTCCTATGGAGATATCCTACTGAAAACCTACAACTCGTAGGCGTTATTAATACTATCTTTCACAATCAGAATAGCTCTTAGTGCCTAAATAGTGACTGAGATTGACATAACTCTCTTTGGCTTTCGACGTATAAATGAGAATGTCACATGATATAGTCAAATGCAAATATCTAAATACGCTAACTCTTCGTATACTCCCAAACTTTAACTTACGAGATCGATTGTCCATTCCCACTTTATTGATTTTAGTGTGGTGTGGTCACCACATATATAATTGAATAACTGAATAAAAGAAAGAGAAATAGAACAGTTGGGTTATTAGCACCGAAATAGGTGAGTATACTTGTCAGGTACATCCGAACGAATGTTCATTACTTCATCTTACTTTCCAGTACTAAGAGAAACAAAAATTCTGACCTACATCTGACAACTTTTCGAGCTACTAAGCTGCATTACACTTCATATGCACAAACATATAGTAGCCTAAAGTAAGTATCTTTCATCCCGTGGCTCCACATCATAAGCTACGTTCATTTTTTCGACTTGTTCTAGGTCTAAATAAGCGTAAATAGTTGATAAGCAGCTGGGGAATTGGATTTTGATAAAGGTTTATCCTAAGTAATTCTAAAATTCATTATTACAAAACTTATGTTTTCAAAATATGCCCAAGTAAGGAAAAATGCACTATCCGGAGTTGTGAAACTTTACATCCACACAAAGAAGGAAAACATGCGTACTTCAGTGAACAATGAAATCCCCCTAAAGAACTTTCTAGTCAAATCAAGCTGATAAGTAGTGAGTCACAAAATCTTCTGGATATCACAGACTGTATGAAGTCAACGTGTCACTATCGTTTGTTAGTATAAGTCGCCTCATTTCTAAGCACCTCCAGACTGTTAGTTTATTCGATAATAGACAATGATATTGTTGCGCTTTATGAGCTTCAAACTCAGAGTGAAACTTAGAAATCTAAACATGAAATCGATGTTCCACTATATAGATTATCAATCCACAGATGTGGTCATCTTTTATACCATACGATCTAAACAAAGTATTCACCAGAAGGAGTATCACTGATCAACATTGACCAGTGACTCACACGCTACTCACTTCTTAAATTCTTTCCTTATAGCTGATTTACACTGAAAATAGCCTTGTGTAACGATGCACTTGTTTTTGTTTCTGTTGTTGTTGTAGAGTACGCAAAAGTTGAGCGTCTGCTGGGAAATGGACGGTTGGAAGCCTATTGTTTCGATGGTGTTAAAAGACTGTGTCATATTCGTGGGAAGTTACGCAAAAAGGTATACCAGTGATAATACATGTATATGTATGTTTTCATAATATTCATGGTAGAGAAACACAAGTAAATTATTGTTGTTTGGAAAGTGTGGATCAGCACACTTGTTCATTAGATTTATTTTTATGATATAGGAGTCAAATTTATTTCTACTAAAAAGCATTCATGTACTGTTGTTGTTCTCAAACTATAGGCTTTAGTAAATCAATGACTATAGTTTGTTGCATCATAGTTCAATCAGCTTGTGATACTGATTTTCGGTAGGCTCCTTTGAGACTAAACGTCTGCTTGATTAATGTTTTGATAAAGACTACTCATCAGTCTCAATAGTTTTCGTTTTAGGCTTTTGTTACCACTCTTAAATACTTTATACACGAATTCGTCGCATTTTACTGGGTGCAGAGAATTTGATATCTAATCTTTTACGATAGGCAACACTAGGCAACTCTTTAGACTCATCAGGGAAACGGGTGGGAGAAGGCAAATCATAAGTGAGACTATTTCTGAGAAAAATGGCTCCTTAATTAGCTCTCAGGATAGACGCCTTGAACGCTGGAAAGAACACTTTGAGGGACAATTTAACTTGCCTACAGCCACACTGAACCTCCCCGACATCCAGCACACACCCGAATGGGATATAGACACTGGTCCGCCGTCTGTAAGTGAGGTCACAAAAGCTATCAGTAATTTGAAACGAGGCAAAGCGGCAGGACCCGACAGAATTATTCCGGAGGTGTTTAAATATGGGGGTGACATACTAGTTTGTAGATTAACTGAGGTACTAGGCAAAGTCTGAGAATCAGAGACAGTGCCATCAGACTGGGGTAAGTCACTTATTATACCGATATTCAAGAAGGGAAACAAGTCCTCGTGTGATAATCATAGGGGGATCAGCCTAACGAACATAGTCTCTAAAATCCTAGGCTCAGTAATCATGCATAGACTAAGCAGAACTCGGGAGGAACAGACAAGGGAAAATCAAGCAGGCTTTAGACCAGGTAGAGGGTGCATAGATCATATCTTCACTCTTCGACAGATTCTAGAACATAGACACACTTTTCGGCGTCCAACAATTGTCATATTTCTTGACTTGAAGGCGGTCTTTGACTCCGTGGATCGAAAGTTACTATGGCAATGTCGGACTGTGAAGGGAGTGCCAAGAAAGTACATTGCACTAATCAAGACACTCTATTCAAACTCACGTAGTCGTGTAAGGGCTTATGGGGAATTGTCATCTGAATTGGTAACAATCAGTGGTGTCCAACAGGGATGTCCACTTTCCCTATTTCTGTTTAACTTCATCATAGATATGCTGATGGAAGTATCCTTAACCGAACGTAGTGACTTAGGAATCGACTTGTTACCAGGGAATAGTCTTATGGACTTAGAATATGCAGATGACATAGTCCTGTTAGGGGAAGATGCTGACAAAATGCAGAGTCTTCTGAACACCTTGAGCAGCAATCTTCGTATGTTTGGCATGCGATTCGCCCCTACAAAATGTAAGATGCTGCTACAGGACTGGACCCCGTCAATCCCTAACTTAGTGATTCTCTATGGCTCTGAAACATGGCCAATACGAGTTGAAGACATGAAAAGGTTGACTGCTTTCGATCATAGATGTCTGCGATCTCTGTCTCACGTTAGGTGGTATAATAAGGTAAGTAATGTTGACGTTAGGCGTAGAGTGTTGGGCACAGAGGGAAAATCAATCGACGAAGCTATAAAGTTACATAGACTGAGATGGCTAGGTCACGTGCTGCGCATGCCTAACCATCGCCTCCCCCGACGGGCATTGCTAGCTGATATAGGTGGAGGTTCGAAAAGAGTAAGTGGTGGCCAAACAAAAACATGGCCTCATCAATCCATGAAATCCTTGACAGTTAAACTGAGTCAGGTAGTGAGGGAGGTGCAGACTTCCGGGTTGGGGCCCTCGGGACTCTAGGAATCAATGGGTGGAGAGAATAGGTGACATGGCTCAAAATCGTTGTCAATGGCCAGCGCAGATGTATTCAGTCTCTGTAATCTTTCATATTCCTTTCTACCATTACCCATTCTGTCTCACTCTTATACTTGTCAGACTATTGATTCTCTTCACTCATCTTCTTGTCTACCTCTGTGTGCTATTTGGAACGTGGCAACTGGAACTGCTTCACTTCGGTGCCAAGTTCTATGTTGAATCCAGACAGACAGATCTTTTACATGTAGATACTTCATGAGTGCTTTGATATTAAGTCATGTGACATTAAGTAATTTCAGTTAACCTTCTTTGAACGTCGATTCTTTGAATTCCAAATGGAACAAAGGACTTCAAGCTTTCAGCTCTAAAGTTTTAGTATCAGTGATGTTTCCCTTTACTAGGTGAAGTTTGCTAGCATCATGCCGAATTTTCCTCTTTAATGAATTTACCATTGGATAAATGAGGTAAGGGAGTGCATCAGGTGAGGTTCAAAATTCGAAACACCTACTTGGTTGGTGAGGATTCTACTGCTGAGCCATCACTGATGCACTTGTCCCAGGTCAACTCATATTCTAATTAACTTGAGTACATAGTTCAGCATAGAGGTAGGTATACAGGTTCAAACTTGGTGTGTGTGTGCGATTTTCCTCAAATGTTACACCTATACTTTTCTGACCAGTTCTGTCGACTACAACTTCATTTCGAGGATCTTACCTGTTGACATCCACCATCTAACACATTTATTTACTAGTAGTAGTTATACACGTGGGATTGTGAGTATCGAAACTTTAAAAATATGATGTACGTTTTAGGCATTCCTTTTAGTAGCTAGTTTTTTTCGCAGAATACTTTGGCAGCAGATTTCTCTAACAAGTGCAAGTGGGTAGTATGACTGAAAAAAAGTTGTTCATTTTATGATTATTCCACCTTTCCGCTGTCTGAAATGTTTTTGTTACTTCGCTTGGTTTTATTTTTCCCGATGGTTGTCAACTATGGATTAATTATGAATCATTAGGCTTTAGAAATATAGATTTAGGTGTGTGTGTGTGTGTGACACACCAGACTTCGTTCTACCCCACTTTACAGCTGTGATACATCTACACTTTTCTTCAATAATTTGTTCTTTATGTCACACGCGTACGCTGGTCACCAACTCTGTTTGTGTTATTTCCAATTTACTTCCTGTTTTAAAGTGTAGAAGTGTGTGCTGTATCATTTGGTTCAAATATTAATTCAGTTCGCCACATGTTTGATGTGACTTATAACAGAACAGCATGTTGCCCAGTTATCCCTGTAGTTTCTTTCGAATACATCTTTCATTACGGTTGGTAATTCACTTGAACTGTCACGGGAACGGTAGTCCTTCTTATTGCTTCACGAATAAGTTATTTTTGTTCACCTATGTTTGCGTAACTTTCGTTTCGCCTATATATTAAGCAAAAGAAAGTATTTATCATTCTTTTCTTAAAAAAAGTTGAAATTTTATCTGGTTTGATTACAAAGATAGTGAGTGGTATGTATTCGAAGACTGACTGGAGATCGATATGCTTGTGCTTTGTGTGAACAGTTTCTCTGTTCACCTTCATTCTAAAACACTAGATCGACTTTGTTAAGTAGTGAATGGTTCATCACAAATATATGATCTGCTTGATACCATAAATGGTAATCATGAAAGCAGGTCTGTCTGTCTGTTTTCGACATAGAACTTTGCACAGATGTGCAGCACTTCAAGTCGCCACACTCCCTCCATGTAGCACACAAAGCAAGAGAAGAAAGCAGAAGAAATGCATAATAGGGACAGTAAACAGAGGTGTGAGACAAAGGAATAGTAATAACAAAGAACAAAACAGTTTCATTGAAAATCATAAGTCACAAGGAGTGGATGCATCTGCGTCAGTCATTGACAACAACGATTTTGAGCCATGTCACCAATTATTTCCAACCATTGGTTTTTACCGTCTCGAGGACCCCAACCAGTCAGTCAGGAAGTCTACACCTTCCTACGTGGCTTAGACTAACTGTCATAGATTTCATTGACTGGTGCCATGAGAGCAGGTAGGTATATTTGCATAAAACTACTGATTAATCGAGACAAGTAGTGGTTGTTTACTACTCACATCAACCTGTCGGGCTTGCTAGCTAACCAGATCTAAGTGATCTGAATACCAGACGACTGTTTCCTTTACTTGGGTCCGTGCTTATCAACGGGGTACCCGGTTTTATCCAACTCAGAGAGCAAATTAAGTGTGTTCACAATGCGTTCTCCTGTTTTCTTCTCACGTGACTATTGATTCTGCCGTACATTCCTCCTCACTTCAGTTCTTTTGTGTGTTGTTTTTCACTTTCTCTGACTTTGTGTGATACGTAGAGTGTGGCAACTTAAACGGCTGCACTTTTGTGTGCAAAGTTCTACGTGGAAATTTAGTCACTCACAATACGTAGGAAATTAAGTATTTTGATTTGAATCACGATCTCTGTGAATAGATTATAACCGATAGATCGATAAATAATCGAATACTTCAAAATAGTTTGTTATTGATAAGATTAAAAAGGAGCATTCAAAACACAAATATTGTTGTCTAATGTCATATAAATTCGAAGACTTACAGGCGAAAACCAACAAGTTAGCAGAAGAAGAAGGCTGCAGCGACAAGACTTCAAGTAAACATAGAAAAGACGGAGGTGATGAAGATAATGAACCAACAGCAACAGGAACAAGTCGTTATCCTGGAGAGAAATTTGAGGAAGATAACTTCATTCATTCACTTATCTGGTGCGTCGGTGGCGCAGAGATAAAATGCTCGCCAACCACTAGGTGATCGGGGATTCGATCCCCCGCCGACGCACTCTCAAATCTTGCTTAACTGGTAAGAAGTCCTACAAAAAGGAAATGTTAGGCGGGAGACTAGCAATCACACTCTGTAAAAATAAAACCGCTGTCACCGTAATTTCAGAGCTCTAACTTGAAGTCCGATTTCCTACTGGGAACTCAAAGGAATAAAAAGATTCACATTTCTAGGAAGCATCATCTCAACTACAGGCAG